AGAACACAGAGAATGGGGTTACACTGGCAAGATGCTGGCTGCGGTGCTGTGGCCTCTCCGTTACATCTCCCCAGATCTATTCATTTCCTGTTTCACACCACTTTATCCATCTGCACACCACTACAACTCATTTCTTCAACTACCTCCCTGAAGCCACTGCAGCTAATTCAAGGCACCCCTAATTTAAATGGATTGTGTCTTCTAGAATGTTGGTGTATTCATATAGCATTTTATTAAACACCCCCCAAAGAGCTCGTTGTTTTTAAGTATTTCTGAATCTGGCAAAAGAGCACAGTGAGTTAAAAAAAAAAAAAAAAACAGTCTGAAGTTCCTTCTTGTTCTGGGAGTAGATGGGTATTCCTCATTTTAACATTCACACTATAAAATCTCAGATGAATCAATGAGACCACTGATTTATGTGACAGATTATGAAGCCCAGAGTAAAGGAATTTGGGGGCTTAGAGCCTGGGCTCTGCCACCTGAGTTCTGTGCCTGCATTGAGGGAGGAGGTAGCATTTTCACAGTCAGTTGAATTAGCTATGACAATCACTCACCTGAAAAGAAAAGCTAAATCTAGCGATGGTCAAGTCTGGGACAGGGGAGGAACTCTGCTCTTTACAAGGTAAGCTGGGGAGTGTGGGGACAGACTGGAGATTTGGGAAAGACACAAACTAAGTGGTGAAAAAGGTATTCTCAGTTTTAAAGCTCTGGGATCATTACCATCAAAATCAACAAATAAATCAAGTTTGGACTACAGTTAGAGGAAAGACCAAGGTGTTTGCAACCTGATGTTGAAAGCAGAAAGCCATATGAGCCATAGAAAGGAAACCAATTTCTTTTAAAACAGGCCAGGACTGGGCTGGAAAGATTTGGTTTTGTGGTCTTAAATGGCAAAGGGCAACCGACCAGCCAAGCCAGTGCTTTCATGGAGCTTAAATAGCAGTCTCGCCAAGTGCTAGTCACGTGGGAGAGCGCTGGTGAGAACAAGGTTGCCAGCCAGACCTTGGTGTGCATGAGGTTGCCAAGGAAGGAAACTCAGCGAGAGACGCCAACATGTGAGGGCCATCTCGCTCCACTACCCCTTTTATCCCAGTGAAAGCCCTTCTGGCAGGGCTGGTGACTCCAGAAGACCACCAAAGAAGAAAGGCACACATCTTATGACAAGGCAAGAAGACCCAGAGTGACCAAAGAGACAACCATCAAGCTGTCACCTCTCTCCCCTGGGATGAAAGCTTTCTACACTGTGGGTCTCTCCTAGCCCAGCTGGAAAGGCAAGAAGGAGGTTCGGGAAAAGTTTCAAGATGGTCAGGGATGAGAAGATAAATTCAGTTAAAAACATGCAGCTCTCAATTATTACAGTGTTCCATCAATGATGCATTTAGGAAACCTGAAAATGCACTCCGAAATCTTCCTGTTCTTATAAAAAGCATGCTGATAAGACAGATGGGGTCCATGCCATAAAGCCACCCCATATAAATCAAAATTTCTCCCATCTATCTTTTTACCAATATTGTATGTCCCATATACGTGACAGAATCAAGGTACAAAGATTCAGGGGGAAGAAAAAATCTCTCTCCATTTCAAGTCTGGCCATATAACCATGAGAAGGAAGCTTTAATTTTCCCGGAGTTCAACCAAAATAAACCTGTTAGAGGAATACACAAAAGTGGTATAGTAGAATCCTCCAACCTGAATAAGAAAGTCAGAAAAATCAGTCCTTTTGCATATACTGGGGGGTGTTTCTGCAGTACATTCTCCCCTATATGAATTATTTTCCAGCTCGGAGGTTTATACTACATTATCACCTCACTTTTTCATGTTTGGTTTGGTTTTATTTGTAATGGTCAGAACACAGGACACAGGTTTTGTAGGTCTGGCTTTGAAACAAACCAGTAGGCCTAAATTACATCACAACTTCCTTTACAATGTGGTGTAGAAAGAGTAAAAAAGCAAGCCTGTAATATCATTTCTGTAATTAGACACCTACTGCCTTTATTTTTCTCTTAAACAATAAATAGATGTCTCCTTTTTGCCATCTCCTAGGAGTCAAAACAGTTCAAGAAAGCAAGCTCATTGCACATTTGAGTAACTGTTGGGCTTCTCAATTGTTTCTCAGCCATCATTCATTTTCCATAACAACACACAAACCAGGCACAGAGACATGCACACAGACGGCCGCGGGTCTGCAGAGAACTGAGGTAAGCATCATCAACACCACTGACATCACTTTTGGCAGCTGGAGAAATAGGAAAACCTGTGTTTAATCTATTTCCTACTCACCACAAGCTTTAGCTGGAGTCCCCGATAACATGGGTTGTGGTTGGCCTTATGGAAGAATCTGGTAATGCAAGAAACATCTACCAAACTGAACAAGCATCTTTAAAGGAAACCACAAAGTGCCTCAGCAGTGCAGCCTTGGTCCCTTTCCCATAGGTTCCTCTGGGTCACTGAACAGTGCTACCAGAGGATAAAGCCACGCCCAAACAATTCCTAGTGAGGCTCAAACTCAGTGGAAGACCTTCTCCCTGAAACACATCTCACTAAGATCTCCAAGAAACCTCCATTTAAATCACAAACGAAGAAATTTTTGCCTTTGTCTTCCTCCTTGCTTGGAGAATATTGGGAGAGAAATGAGAAGAATTTACCTGTCATTCTTGGGAGTTTACATAATTATTCAGAAAGAAAAAAAAGGGCAAGATGACCTAATGATAAAACTCTGAAACCAATTGCAACTGGTCATAAATATATAAGTATATGGCAGTATTGTCCAAATGTATTCAAACCCACATTTCTCATTCTTTTCACTTTACGAATTCTTTAAGAACTGCAAGTCACAAAGACTTCTGGGCTATGAGAGTCATTCTTAAACACAAGCCAATGTCAAGGAGCACAGAAAACAGTGCCATGTATCTTGGATTTTGGAAGGCCAAAGGCAAGACCCATATTAATTGGGCTGTGTTGAAGATAAGCTGTAACTCTTACTCGCAAGGAAGGAGTAATGCAACCAATGTGTTTCCCTTGAATTGCCAATACCCGAGTGCGAAATGAATAACCTGTGTGCATTTTGAGTTCCAAAATGTAATTTATGAAATTCAACCCCAAAATGGTTCTTTGAAAATGAAAATTACATGTATATCAGACTTTTTAAAGGCTATTTTAACTCAAAACTTACTTCCAAGTTAAAATTCAAAGTGCAGGGCCGGGGATTTAGCTCAGCGGTTCAGTGGCCTGCCTTGCAAGGGCAAGTACCCGAGTTCAATCCCCAGTACTAAAAAAAAACCAAAGTGCAACTGAGGCAACTTCCATGATCTTCCCTCTCTCATTGTTATTTGCTCTATGAGTTTAAGCAAGTCCCTACCTCTCTAACCCCTAACCACCCCCCATGCTTGCATCTGTAACACAGGATGCCAATAGCCATTGCATAGGGTTATAATTGAGATGAAACAAAAAGTTCTTATCACTGTGCCCGACATATAACAAGCCCTGAATCATTAGTTCTTTCGTAACCACTATCATTAAAATCTAGGCCACCTCCTCCTGATATCTGAAAACATACCAGCCAAAAAAACTCACAGTGGAACCTGCAAGCAAGGAATCTGCAGCCCAAATGCCAGCCAGGGATGAAGCTAAAGCCAATTAGGATGCATCTTGGGAAGACAGACAAAGTTATTTTGGAGAGAAAATAGCAAAGGGAAATGCCAGAACAGAAAGAAAAGGGATGGATAGCAGTAGTGAAGCTAAAAATATGCCCTGTGATATAATTTTATACAAAGACTTGCTTACCTGCACAGCAAAAAGAACAACTTAAATATTAAGACAGTAACATTCACATATCTTTGAGCAGATCTCAAAGTAATGCTACCTACAGAAGCTCCATTCAAAGGTTACTTCTACTGCTTGAAGAAATTAGAAGCTTCAAGCCCCCCTGCCCTTTCTAAGTCTGCTAATGAAAGCTTTAAAATACTACTACGGGAAAGCATTTACAAAGAAATCACATGAATAGGCTTAAAAGGATGTTCAGTGAGTTTTTTTCTCTAATGCACTATTTCCAGGTTCTAAAGCATGTTTATAATGGGCGGGGGAGGAATTGGGTGGCTTTTGTTCCCAAATTCTTTTCCCTAATCTCTCATCTTAAGAAACCAAATAGGAGGGTGATCCAGCCAGTCCGTGCTGCCAGAGTAACTTGAAAAACCGAAATTGTTGCCAGATGCACTTCTAATCGTTGGCAGCTGGAAGACGAGGCCAAAAAAATCGGAAAAGATAATCTGAAATAATTGATAAATGCACACATTGCTGCTTGCAACTCTGAGGCCTTTGAGGCAGACAATGGTATAAATTTCCAAATGGCTGCAAACCTTTCTTTACCATCTCACATAAAGAGGTAAAATTCTCCCAATTGACAAAGACAGTTGACCTTTCACCCGCTGACCCCAAAGCTCCTGTTCTTTTGCTTTCATCTTTGGAGTCTTACTTCCACTTTCCTCCAGCTCCTCTCCATTTTCTCCATCCTCTGACATTCTGGCCTCTTCTTTTTAATTTGGAAAATGCCAGCTGCTTAGACATTGCCTAACAGGCACTCTGAATTACAACTGCTTCACGGTGTTGTGCTGCTGAGCTGCCTGCCTGGCTGAACTCAAAGATCACTGTGGGCAGGTGTGCCCAATTCTTAATTAGGAGGTGGTGACAACTTGTAATCGTGGGGCCTGTGGTAAGAAACATTTATCAGTGTCTGTTATGGACTGAATTACCCGCCCCCAATATGCTGAAACCCTCCATATGATAGGAAGCGAGAAATTTGGGGGGCGATTAAGGCACAAAGATGGAGCAGCCATAGGAAAACAGACCAAAAGACAACCCTCCACCAACCCTGAAGAGAGTCCTCCCCAAACATGGATCGACAGCACCTTGGCACTGGACTACCCAAGCCTCTAGAACTGGGAGAAATAAATGTGTGTTGCTTATCACCCAGATTATGTAGCAGGAACAGATAGAACAAAACCTCCTGCTCTTTGTAGACATTTCCTGGTCTCCAAGCAGCACACTAAATCTCTAAAGCAGTAGTTCTGAATTCCTGTGAGAAAGAGAAATGGTGCCCCATGGGGGAAATGCAGCAATGTCTGGGGCTGTTTGAGCTATAACTATGATAAGGGTGGAGTGGGAGAGGCGCTATTGGATTCTTGTGGGTAGAGGCCAGGAATACTAAACATGTCATAATACACAGGACAGAAGCCTGCAACAAAGAGTTATCTCTCTGGCTCCAAAATGTCAAGTGTTGGGGCTGAGAAATCCTGTTCTGGAACTCTTCACTCTTTTTAACTGGAGAAATGGAGGAAGCCCTAAACTCAGTCTGTCAATTGTATCTGGGGTCCACACCAATGCTAGGTGTGAGGCAAGGAAGCAGGTTTTGTGTGTATGGTTCCCACTCTGGGGCCATCCTGTATCTCTGCCAATACCACAGTGTCAGGGACCCACTGAGTCCCTCCTCGTGGGTATGGCCTTTCCCAACTTTTCGTTGCACTCAGTGTCATTTAACCTCTTCTGCGTTCCATTCCCTGTAATGTCTTTAAGGATGAGAGTAATCCAAGTAACCAGTCTAGAGCCACGTTTTTCTGTCTCTCTAGAGGAAAACAGCAACTTTCCAATGCAAGGGTACAACAAAGGACTGGCTTCCAAGGGGAGAAGAGCATGTAGCAGTACGGTGGCCCTCACTGTAGGGTCTAGGGAACATGAGCACGACCTGTGGCTGCTCTGTCTGTGCTGACCACGAGAAGTGACCAACTCCACCAGGAAACCCCTGTATCCCTCTCAGGTCTGTATCGCCCCCTTCATCCTCAATGCTTTCTGATTTCATAAAATAGAGAAAATACTTGGTCCTCACAATCAGTTGCAAAACTCAGAGAATGAGAGAAGGCTACTGGGAACAAGACAGCACTTTACTTATGCTATTGGTTGTGCTCTGAATCCCGCAGATACCCGAGAGTGAAAAGAAAAATAAACGTTAGGTTCCCTTAGTTCCAGCATTAGTTCGCTTTTTACAATAAATCCACGAACCATGCTAAGAAATGATTCCTAAATCATTCCTAAACTATTCCTTGAACATCATTTCATTTGTGAAATGAATGTAAGATACTCTATTAAAAACAAACAATCATGTCCAAGAGAGAAGACTGAAACACAAACTTCATTTAGCATGTATGTATAATGTGTCTGCCTAAGAAGACATTTTTAAGTCTGTTTTGCCTAAATGTAACCTTAAAGAAAAATAACAAAGGGCTGAGTGTATAAAGCATCATCAGTGAGAGCAGACAGGGTTAAAAATTCTTAAAATTAGTCAACAAGCAGAAAGAACAAGTTGATTTCCAGGTGGCCAAACACGTTTCTCAGAGTGAACCCTAAGTAACAATAGTAACAGCAAGTCCTCCTTAAACATGGTCACATAAGCTACTGCAGTCCCAAATGACATGAAGAAAACAACCTGTTCTTTGCAGGTTGTAGCATGAGATGCTCACAGAATGCCTTCAAGAAGAGTGAGCTGCACAATGTTACCTTATTATATTATATGGAACATCAGCAGGCTGTAATTAGCACTTAAGAGAACTATGGTAGGCTTTGCCTAAATCTGCTCAAAAGTCACCTGAAGTTCCTGCTACAAAACCATGTCACTAATAGACATGGGCCTCCCTGTTTACTTGGTTTCTCTGCAGCTTCCTTGCACAGTGATGGAAGAATAGTGAATGTCACAGCAAGCCTTGTCTTTTAAGGATGGTCATCTTCCTTCTCCTCATTCAGGGCCCCTTACCATAGCTACTAACTCTCCTCACATCATTGTTTCTGGGATCCACTCAAGGGTAATTCTAGCAGAAACAAAGAACACCTTCCTAGGGTCTTCCAGACTGAAGTACCCGGGTCCCTCAATTCTCACTCATTTCTCCAATGCACAGCTAGAGAAAGTCAGTGCACAGTTGACCTGAGAACACTTTGTCCTAAGTAAATAAACTGGGACTCTTTTCCCCTTGCCTTGACCATTTAGTGGCAGTCACTTTTCCCAAGGAGAGAGTCCCCCTCCCCAATTTAACTAAATTCAATTTAACCTATTTTTTCCCACTAGAACTTCATAGAAGTGGTGAGGAGAGGGTACAAAGACTAACAAAAATACACATCTGGATGGCAGTTACTCCAGTTTCTATTTTAAGGGCCTCATTCCCATTTGTACAGGTGACTTTTGCATGACCAATTCTGCAAAAAAAAAAAAGGGTTCCTGAATTAATATGAAAGGAATAATCAAAGCAGGCTCAGGCCTGGTGTTATAAGGACTTTCTTGATTGAGTGGAATTGTTAAAGAGTTAGAATCATTAAATGAGTCGCCCAGGTTGCAGAAACCGGTTGGTAGTACTGCTAAGCGCTACTAGAGATTCTCCTGGTTCTCAAAAGCAATGCTCTTTCTAGCCACCCCATGAGTCACTGACATCTTCATACAGCAGCTATTTAGAAAAGCAAAACAGTCTTAACAGATGAAGGTAACAGGGTGATATTCAAAGGAAGTGCAAAGCAAGATTCCATACAACCAAATTAATCAACTACAAAATGAGATTTCTATAGAAGAAATCATGCAGTAGAGGGGGGGGGAAGGGAGTCCCGGAAGACTTTGAATTTATTATAAAGGAAGAATATATTTCAACACTGTTTAAAATGTTTTCATATCAGGGGTACTAAATTAACTGAAATTTTACATACATAAATACTTGCTAAAAATATTTTCATTATATTTAGTGTTACCTAAGCGATTACTATGGTACCACATTCAGTTTTGATCCCTACTGTTACCAATATCAGCAAAAAGCACAGAGAAAATAATCAAACTAAGAAGATAAAGTATAAAGCAGTGCTTCCTAAACTTCTCTCACTGGTTTTGTTAAAATAAAGATTCTGATTAATTAAATTTGGGATAGGGCCCAACATTCTGCATTTCTAGCCAGCTCCCAAGACACCCCAATGTTGCTGGTCTGAGGACTACACTCTGACTAGCAACAAAGTAAGAAGCTACAAGAAAAGGGGGAAAGTACTATTTAAATCATATGAAAGAATAAGGGGTCTTAGCTGAAGGACTATTGAAAAGGGTTCACTATAAGTCATCTTCTCTATCTTCAAAAGGAAAAGGTCTTAAAAGGCAGAAAGTTCAACTGAAACATGAGGAAAAATTTACTAGGTAAAGTCCTAGAAGAGTTAACTAGTGAAGAATGAGAAACTTTTACCCTTGAATAACACAGATTTAGATGACTATAAACATGACAGGGGGAATACATCAGAATTCTTTTAAGAGTTTCCAGCTTTGCTGTTTCTCTTTCTCTTTCTCTCTCTCTCTCTCTCTCTCTCTCTCTCTCTCTTTTTTTTTATGTATTTAAATTATCCAGACAAGGAAAATGCAAGATAGTGTTCAGGCTTACCAGCCACACCTAGACATTAATTCATAGCATTTGTTTCCTGGTCTCTGATTAAATCTGGACTGAAAAAGAGATGCATAGATAAATATGCAATCAAATCAGGAGAGAAGAAGTCAGGGAGTACTTTGTGATTTAAGAGCAGAATCAAAGGAAAATGCCTCACAAACTGTTGATTCCACTGAAAGCAATGACCACATTGGCAGTCCTGGTTTACACCTGTGAAGAGCAGAAAAATTGTGGACTCTCTCCTTTCCTCGACTCATGTTGTTTCTCTCTCTCTTTCTCTCTCTCTCTCTCTCTCTCTCTCTCTCTCTCTCTCTCTCTCTCTCCTCTCTCTCTCTTCCCCTCTGTTTCCCCTTCTTCCCTTTTTCCTCTTTCTCTGGTCCAGATCTAAGGGACGGATGGCAATTGTGAGCTCTTAATTTCTTAATTGTCTCCGTTTTTATCTCCGTCCAGAATCATTCAGATAACCATCCTCTTGGTTTTGACTTGGACGCCCAGTAGACAGGCAGGTGATAAATGAATCAAACCTGAAAACCTTGGTCTTCTTTTCCAAGGACCTGACTGTGACCCAGACTTCCTGTCTAAATACTTTCAGAGTTCACCTGGGACTCAAATGAGCGCTGTCCTTCTTATCTTCTTCTCATGGTCATTAAAATGCCCCTTGTCCATTCTCTCTCCCCTTTCATTACGAAAGTTTAAAAATAAAGATTCCACAATTTGTTTTTAATTGTGCTTAGTGTTTAGACAAAGGAGAAGGGCCCCGAGGCAGAGGCAGCCGGAGTGGGTGTGTATAGGACTCAGCGCATCTGTACCTCTTTCCAAACTGAATACAGATTACTCTGACATCTGAGGGTCTCAGTCAAGAAAACTAGGTATGGCCACATGCATTAGCTAACAGGTGACAGGACAAAATAAACAGGCATTCCTCACCACTCAATGAAATAAACACATCTGCCCCACAGTCATCTTTTATCCAGTAAACCACAAGCATCATTCCCAACCCCACGTCTTTATTATTTGAAGAGACTGGCAAATAGCCAGAGCCACCAAACTGGCAACTTAGACGTCACCCCAAATAAATGAGTAGAGCCGCAACAACAGTTAAATGACCACAACAGTCATTTTCATCAATTTCAAAACATCCAAAACGTTGCTATCAAAATAGTCTCTCTTTTGCCACTGAGTATTAATTTCTCCTCCACCATCTTTTCTAAGAGCACCCCAGATTTCTAGCATAAATAGGTCATCCTCAGAACCACTGCTGCTTACAGAGGGAGGTCCAGAAGCGTCACATGGTGTACTATCAGCGGAAGTAACAAAACCATACTGATGTGAAGGTACCAAAAATCTGCTTACTAAAAAAATAAGCAAGAAAAGGCAGCCCATGTGTGCTAATAACTTCCATTCAGGCTACCAGACAGTAGCAGACTGGTCCTAGTTTCTACAGGAAGGCAAACAGACACGCTCTTCAGTCCTATTTATTCAGAAGTCAGTCACAAGGTTCCGTCTTCCACTCCGTGAAGTTTTACAGCAGTGGACCGGCCTTAATTATCTGACAGTAATTGGCCCGCCTCTGTGCGCGGACGCCGAGGTACAGCTTTACTGTCTGGAAGGGAAGTCTGAGCAAAGCAAGCATAAGCTTTTAATGACTTTAGGAAATGGCAGGAAAATGATGATGTGGCCAGAGATACTCCCCAAGAGCTAATTCCAAAACCACTGCTGGGCTGTGCAATTTCACAGGCCACGCAATTCACACGGATTGTTTTCCTAACCGGTTGGGACAGAGTAAGAACACATTTTACCCACGACTATGGATACAACGAACGCGCACCTCCTGCAAGGCACTTTCCCTCACAGTGATGTGGTCACCCTTCAGTGGGAGGACCCAGCTCCACTTCCTGGGGGACCTTAGACATTTCATTAACCTCACTGAGCTGTAATTTCTGAATGGCATGGTGATAAAATACCTCACTCATTCAGTAGTTGTGGCAATTAAATGCAATAGTGACCATAAAGCAGGAGGCACAGATCTTGACAACCAGTTATAGGATAATTAATTTATTCTATCTAGTAACAACAGGCTACCAGGAACCATAAAGGGAGGAGACAGTAGAAAGAGGAACTGAAAGGGGAAGGAAGATACTTGACTCTTGATTTTCCACCCTGGCTACTCTGTGTGTTTGCAGAGAGGAGCTCTTCAAAGAATTCTGTCCCTGAAATTCTGAGAATTACACTCATACGATACCATCGGCCCTAAACTGCCACTGTTTTATCACTGAATATGAAGGCACCGCCTGTCTGGCTATGAATTCGTTTTCATGAGTGAGTCATTATTTGAAAGGGATTGCCCCTGACTAAAAGGACA